AGCATAGAAGATCACGGATCAATTTCTTACCAACAGTTGCTGAGTTGAAAATCGTGAAGCCATTTCCATAACTTCTATCACCGGTTATAATCGTACTTTGCATGCCATCACCTACTAGCATAATATTTCTCAAATTGGTACCAATCACAAGGTATTCCGCATACACACCACTCTTAATATGGATCACAAACCTCCCACTCCTAGTCTTCTTTGCCGTGGCATCAAGGGCCTCGCGAATAATCTTAAAATCTCCCGACCCATCTTGAGCCACCACTAGGTTTGCCGTGGCTAACTTAGAAGCTTGCAATAGTTTCCTATCGCGTCTAGTGACCCACGTAGGGAACCCTAGCTTGTATGATTGAATTCTAGGGACGATGTTATTGTGCATGGCTAAGCTATTGCTAATCAACTTAGTAACATTGTTGGAGATATAAGGTTTAAACCCGGCTATACACGTCTCAAGGTTAGTCAAAGCCGTGCTTAGCCAAGTTTGTTTATCAAATTCATTGCAATTTTTTTTGGTAGGGTTTAGGGTTCTATTAAGCTCAAAGATGGTGCTCTCAAAAAGGGTCATGCAATCGGCCCATGCACCCTTCTCACGCCTATCTTTACACTTTGATCCGAGCCCTTTGGTGTGGTTGTGTGCTAAAAGGGTTTGATCCAACGCTATTTGGATCACCATTTTTTGAAACTCGACTTTGTGTTTGGGTTCGAGGTGGTTCATAAAATTTAGGCATGGTTCCGGGTGTAGGGTTTGGTTGCACCACCAACGTATGTCATTTTTGGCAAGGGTTGGTGATGATAACAAGAAAGAAGATGCTATCAAAAGAAAACACACTACAAGATTTGTGGCCATTTTCCTTAAACTTTGTAATATGAACTAATAATGGTTGATTATTGGTGTTTATTAATTAAGATAATGAAGCTATTAATGAAAATTACATAATGTTGATATTTATAATAAGATGATAATATAAGTTTTGAATTTATGCATGCTAATTGTGGTGAGTTATTACGTTACGTGAAGATATTAGTATTTTTCATGGACTATATAATTACCCATGCATATCAAAATTATCTAATTAGGAGACTTGTATGAATGTACAAGAAGTACTAAATAATTAATTGGTCCCATTATTTTTCTGCTGCGGTGTTGCCCTACGCTCCATGCGTATGATTATTTACTTTAGGAGAATAATTTTGCCAGTTTTTTGAAAAACTATACTACCTCCGTTTTTTATTAGTTGTCACATTTTGACTTTAGCACTGTTCACACACTTAACCATATTTTGTGATTTATACGTAATGAAAAATATAATCATGTGGGGTTTTGTTAGATTCGTCGCGGTATATATTTTCAAAATATCAACTTTTTATAATTTTTACTTATCGATAATTAGAGATATTAACGGTTGAAATCATGCATTGGCAAACGTGACTAAAGAAACGTGTCAACTAAAAAGAAACGGAGGAAATATATAACTCATCGATTTAATGATCATAATTTGTTCTATTCGTTATTGGTCCGTAAGTCCAATTATGAAAGTGATATTAGATTATTAGTCTTTTAATTTCTATCTAAATAACAAGCTGATTAGCCACGTTTTGTTAATTTACCATATTTAAAAATTAAGTATAATTATGATATCATTCATATGTAACTATGTAAGTATACTTATGTTGTCCAAAAGAGAGAGAAAAAGTGAACACGTAATTTAAAACAATAATCTTAGCTTTATACTCCGTATCTCTCTTCTTCAATAGCTCACGTGTGTGATTAAATTGTGAAAATGTGATTAAAGGACATGCATGATGTATGGAAATTTCTTTGTTTGCTCAACCAATTAACATACTAATTTCAGTAATTTGAAACAATTTTCTTTGTTTAAGTGCTCAACCAATTACCATCATCAATAATTAAACATCTTCATCATCGGATTATCCTATCTTTTTCTACTGTTGCACAAGCCCAATCTTATACAGAGTTCATAACCAATCCAAATGATATGTGGCCCAAATAAGTTGGTGATTGATGTCCACAGTCCACACTATATTGTCATTTTGTGAATAGTACTATTGTACTAATAAAGACGTGAAGAGAACATGATGTTTCGGTTCCTTTGTAAGTTCGTGGTCACTTAACGGCCTAAAGAGAGAACACGCATTATATACGAAGTATTGTTCATAAACTATTGGGTGAATCTGTTTTACTGTAAGTCTACCCACCCAAAAAATAACATATATGTTTAATAATTTATATTACACAACTCACTTGAATTGTCCAAAGACTTATATATACGTATTTAAATTTTAAAAGTTAAAATATTCAAAAACGAAGTATAAAATGTCTAATACGGAGCCACTTATATTTATCTCACCATAGTCCGGATTCATATAATACATTCTCATTAATTATTGTTTTCTAAGCTAATATTTCTTCCTAATTTCTAAGCTAATATTTAGGGAGTAGAATTGAGATAAACATGAAGAAGGTAATAGATAAGATACGTATTACAATATCTTGGAAGTTGATAATGAAAGTGCTAGTCCAAAATAGGAGATTGAACAAAAGTATGCTTTCACAATAAGGGAGTAACGTATGAGGGCTACGACAACAAGCTGTATAGTTGTGCTATCGACCAATAGACGTTGCTGTACAAGTGTAGGACACTAGGACCATTTTCTTAGGTGTTCTTCGTTGGCTCATGCAGGCAAGGCGACAAAGTTGGTTATTATTCATCCAATATATGCATGCACCAAATAAATTTACCAATAGTTAATATAAAAATAATAATGACCATATCTAATCACGCACAATATATTAAGCGAGGAATAATAAAAATATGTTTTTTTTTGAAAAGATTATTTATCTCTTACTGATCGAGTACTTTTAACCAAGTAATCCTTGAGTCTTGACTGAGTAATCCCTGACCAAGTAACCCTTAATCTATCGGATAACCTCTGATCGACCGAGTAACCCTTGAAAAAATAACCCAACACGATGTGCCTAGCATATGAAGATTTGTGTTTAAAATATAGTTAAAACTTAAAAAGATATAAATATGTAATCATTGCAAAAATCAAAATGAGAACTATAAATCATTGAAAAATTATGCTCTTACTTCAAATTATTTAAAAAAAATACCATCCCTCAAAAAAAAAAAAAAAAAAAAAAAAAAAAAAAAAAGAAAAAAAGAAGAAGAAAAGAAAATACCATTTAAGCACGTCCGATCCTTAATTCAAAAAAAAAGAAAAGGTTAAAAACCAATCAAAGAAGTAAGAACGACAATGGACAGCAAGTTTGGCAAGCAACCCCATTTGTCAATTCTAAATTTTGTCATGCAACACTTAACATTATCAACGTACGTAACGTAGACCCAACTTATAAATAAATGCACATGCTTTGGGCCTTTCTTACTTTCTTTATGACACTAAATATCTCTAATGTTTCATCCATCCCTATATTTGTGATTTTGTCAATGTATAATGAATTAACCTTTTACAGGAGTATTAGTTTAAAGGTGCTCTTTTCAACTTTTTGTTATATCCTTAAGGATAAATTTGGTTTATATAAACTTTGTTCTTATACAACTTATTAATTGTCTCATATTTCATACATGTATATTAAAGGATAGACTCTTTTCAAATCATATATACTTCTTATATGATATATGTCCCCTTAATTAAGTTAATCATCATTTCATATAAATCGATGACAATGTCGCCCTAGCTAATGAATAAAAGAGTGAAGGTTTTATTATGCTATTTGAGGCTTAATATCTATTCTCTTCACCTTAATTTCAGTTCAGTTCATTTCATTTCACTTCAGCTCCAATTAGTTCAGTTCATATTTGTTCCTAATTTCATTTTTCTCATATACAGTTCAGTTCAATTCAGTTCAGCTCCAGTCAGTTCAGCTCACTTTAGTAAATCAGAACACGCGTACATACCCTTAATTATTATCAACATTGAGGCTACAAATAACTAAATTCGCTTAGCAAATTAAAATATATGCTTATGTGACTCCATATATCAAACATTCAAACATCATTCTTTAATGATGAAGGGTATGGTCTAACTATATAATAATTGATTTAATTAAAGGGAGTATTTTGTTGACTTCTATGTATTATTGAAATTGCGAGGGTATATATATCAATAATTATGAAACTTATATGCGTGTATTCATAGCATAATAATTTATTTAAATGAATTATTCAAGTGGGAGTGTGGGACAGCAGTAATATGGAATAGATCAGAATTTAAGGATGTAAAATAACAAACTAAACTAATGACAACTAACTAAATGAAGCAATTCAACTTGCAAAGTATGTAGGACACTAATGAATTAGTAACGAATCCTCAAGTTGAAGACGTCGGCCTCCTTAGTACATAAAAGTATATAAAAGTATTATGTACACTTTATGTTGGCTATGTATGTACAGCCTAATTAATAAATAACGATACACACTCATGCGTTAGTGATTTGTGTTTCTTCGTAGATTTCAAGTAGCTTAGTTAAAGGCCATATAGTCTAAGCTAAAGTTCAATTTTTTTTTTTTCATGATATACTCGTACTACGTATATTGTATAAGGGTCCATTATGATCCCTCCTCTATTTTTTCCTAGATAAAAACACTTAAATTCACACTCTAACTTTTTTTTTTCTTTTTATTGACAAAGTCACACTCTAACTTTATTCATGTGAAATGATACATTTTTATCTCAAGCAATAATTTCAAATAACATTTTTTCTTACTCCTTATAATATATACTTGTATTAATGTTTGAAAATAAATATTACGTATCGTATGAAAAGAGCTTTATACCATTGAATTTAATTATTGTCTTCATAAAATTTAGGGCCCATCCACTTGATTCCAATTCCAAAATATCAAAATTATTTTTCCCGGGTGTGCAAAATATCAAAAATTATTACTATTTTTTTTTTTTTTTAAAAAAAAGTAAGCCAACTTGCTGTATATCTCTCCTATAAATTGATAAAAACTTTCTCCAAATATCATCACAAAATCAAACATAAAATTATCCTAGAAACCAAAATAATACAAAAATATGATGCAAAGCATATCTTATTCAAAGCATTTTATAGCTTTTCTTACCATAATTAGCCTTACTTCGCAAATTAGCTCAATTTTAGCAATCCATCGTCCAATATACACAGATTTTCTTAAAAGATCATGCAAGTCAACACTTTATCCTGAACTTTGCTACAACTCCCTTTCAACCTATGCAAGTGACATCCAAAAAAATCCTCACATGCTTGCAAATGCCGCCCTCTTGGTGACCTTAGCCACCACCAGGACCACAACCGCGATGATATCTAGGATGTCGAATGGCCCGGGAATACGGCCAAGGGAGGCAGGAGCTATGAAGGACTGTTTGGAAGAACTAAATGATGCAGTAAGTGAGCTTCAAAAATCCATCAAGGAGATGAATCATATTAAGGATAGTAAGAGAGTAGGGCTTATGATGAATGATATACAAACTTGGGTGAGTGCTGCATTGACCGATGCGGACACGTGTACGGCTGGATTTGATGGAAAGGTCATGGATGGAAAGTTGAAGAGTGTTGTGAGAGGGAAAATTGTGACAATTTGTCATCTTACTAGTAATTCCTTGGCTTTGATTAATAGTTATGCTTCATCCATGCATAGTTAATGAGCTAGGTAAATACTACTTTATTTTTCTTGGAGTGGTAATATTTTATGATAAATAGTGAGTGTATTAGAAAAGTGAGTGTATTAGAAAATCTGGGTTGATTTTGTTCACCATGCTAAATTGTAATATACTACCTTCGTTAATGATTATCTGCAACTTTAGAATTTTTTATATCTCACAAATAATACTACAAAGTTGTAGATAACCATTAACAGAGATAGTAATATACTGTATGAGTGATTCATGAATTAGATCTTTTGTTGAAGCAGAACAGTCGTGATCGCGACATTTATCTTAACATACAGAAGACATGGCAACTTTTGGTTAAAAAAAACTTTCAAGATAAGTTTTTGAGAGATTCAGAAAAACAGTTTTACTACAACGGGATCTGTCATTTTACAGCAGTATATCAAAATAATAACGTTACACAATTAACCTTACAGTTAGTATACAAATGAAAAGTTTTTTGAGCTAAAGATTCACAAAATTTGGTAATGCAGTTATGGAACTTTAGAAATCATGTAGTCTCTGGTATTAATGGAATTTTAAGTTTGAAAAGTTAAACAAAATCTGAGAAACTGCCAGAATGGCTCGTATTGAAGGCGGAAGGTCAAGACGATCTTTTAGGAGGAGACATGTTATAGATCAGAGATCTAGTGGTAGTCGCAGCAAATATCTTCACCAACAAATCTGTAGTAATTGAATTGTAGACATTAATCAATGACCAAACCTAGTTAATTATCTATAATGTATATGAAATAGTGAGAGGAGGAAGTAAATAATGTTACCGATGAAAACACGAAGAGCTTCAATGAGCTGCAAACTTTGTTTTTCCCAGCAATTTGCAACTCCACTTTGAATAACCTTCACATCACATAAGCAGATGGATCAGATATTTGGGACTAGGACAATCAAAATTAATACTAGCTAATGCAGAAAAGAAGCAATGGTGAGAAATGAAGACTTGGTACCCTATGCATTAGTTTCTATATGTATATCGTGGAATTTAATTGTATTCTCTGAGTAACTCAAACTCTTTGTTTAAACTTAGTACCCATGTTGCATTTTTGATGCTCTAACATGTATGTGGAAACTTGGCACTTTGTTTTCGGCCAGAAACAAACAGAACCACCCATGAAGTCCGACTCTTTTCCAAGAAAAAATTAGAAGAAAACAGGCATAGCTTCTTCATGCAGGCACGGGTGAGTACAGCAAGCCATTCAATTCTTTGAGCTATGTAAGAGGACTAAGATTTTTATGAAAGAGTCCATGAAAATTTTCTGCCTACTTATTTATACAACTCCAATAAAGAACTCCATGAGGCCTAGATACTTTTAACTTTTAAGACTATCACCCATACATGCTAGCTCACAAAAAAAGCAATGGGCGATGTCTTCCAAATCATCTCTTAAAAAGCTCAAAATCATGAGCCTTAGTACAATGGATGATTGGATGCTAAAGCCACTGCTACCTATCTTTAAGGATGTATAAAATGCTTATCCACTGAATGCTTCGCCTAATACTCCATTTTGCACATCGCCAAACACAAATACACGATCAATACACCAAAAGTCCTAGCCATGATGTAATTATCAGCCATCAAATATTCACCTTACCAGTTGTATTTTATTCAGTCATTTGCTGGCATAACTATAGTCTTAACTCTAAACTTATCATTTTAACGTATGGTGCGAGAAAGAAAGTTCTTAAAGAATTGAGGTTTATCAGTTTATGAGTGGTGCATGTTAATAATAGAGCCCAGCAATCCACTTCAATTCATCAAGCTTGGACTACATATAATTGGCAGCAGCTAAATCTTTATTCATCCAAGAAATTTTCTCAATCTCATCAACAAACCTCTCTTTCTCCTCTTCTAGGAAGAAGCTTAGAACAAAAAATCATTATCACTATTGAGATATTTACTAGCTAATAGAGGCATTGGGGTAACTATAATGTTGATGTATAACCTGCTTCAAACTTTGAAGAGCTACTATGCAATATACTACTGTCTAGTTTTGGAATTCAGAAAATGTTTGAAATTTATCCAGGTTATGCTCACTATTAACAAAGAGAAATTACCTCAAATGGGAGATTGGTCTTCATTACACAAGCTACTGAGAGGCCCACTGCTACAAAAGACACAATCAAGTAAATATTCAACAATGTTGATCGGCTTCGCCTACGACCTACAATACATGAAGTTATTAATAAGATACACATACCGTCATAATGATGCAAACTGATTTATAGAAACATGTACAGGACACATCCATGCCCGATCTAAAAAAATACTGACCTAATTCACAAACAAGAAGAGAAAGAAAATTGAGAATAACTGATGAAAGACGGAGCACATCAGAATCTTCTCCCTTTATCATTGGTAACAACATTAAAATGGCACCAACAAATAACACGAGACCCTGCATAACCAAATCAAGGATTGCGTCAGAAAATAACCTAAACGAAACCTAAATTGCCCAGTTGACAAAGGTATAATGTCAAATTTGACATCAAACTTAAAAGGCAATGAATTGCTCCTAGCAAATATACAACTGAAAGCTGACACTAAGATCACTCCAGTGACTTCACCAGTTCACCATCCTAAATTCCTAATATGCAAGTATGCAACGAAACTAGAAATGCCACTAGCACTTTCTCATAAATTCACATTCATGTCCTTCCCAACAAAGATTGAAACTTGGAAAGTATTTTGGTAAGGTGCTAGACTGTCTTCTCTTTGTACAAAGGTTCTAATAACAGATGAGGGACAAATTAACGACAAACATTATTGATAGAGACATCAGAATCTAAAACATCAACAAGTGCAATGTATTAACTTCAGAAATTACTCAAATTAGTATACTTCAGAAGTTCAGAGGATTGCAAGAACCCTAATCAAGAAGCCTGCTATAATTCCAACACCTTAAATGACCTTAAGAAGCAAATAAAGGGCTCCAACTTTGATTTTCCAACCAGCATATATACCTAGATGGGGAACAAGGTTCATATTTATACAAAACGCACTTAATTTCAAATGTTAATGTCCTAAATAATCAACCTTTCAGATTGGTTAGAACCAATTAAACACATCAGCAGAGAATACCCAGTAACCAATTTCACATTAATTCAATACCTACTTGCTAAATTCAACAATGTCATTAAATTTTGCATCTTTAACCATTTTCAATTTTCCCCCAATTAAAAAAAATCCCTAATTTGTAGCATAACTATCATCAAAGTTCTCTCTTTTTTTTTTTTTTTTTTTTCAATTTACCCAATGAGAAGCTACAATTAGAAAAATAAGAGAATTATTACCTGAATTAAGAGGAGAGAAGAGAGACGAGACTTCCCTTTGGCAACTTTAGTGTACCCTATTGATGAGATTTCAACAAGAACACAAAATTGTAAGAAAAAAAGAAAGGTCAAATTTTTACAAAGAAATCAAAATTGCAGGAGAAAAAGGGGGGCATACTGGAATCAACCACCATGCGGTAGGAAAAGTCGGAGCCATCAGTTCCTGATGGCCTACCGGCGGCCGATCTCCTCTGCTGCATTCTCTCTCTCTCGCACTCTTCCTCTTGGTTGCTGCTCCGGTTGTGGAGATGTCACTTTTTTTTCCTTTCTCGGGGAAAACGCTGTGGAGTTATGGGTATTACTTATGGGGTCATGGGTAAATCCGTAAATGCATATCAATTATCATACTTTCGAGTGGATTTAGTGTCTGTTCTTTTCAGCATAATTTCAGTTCAGTTCTAATCAGTTTAGTATAGTTTAATTCAGTTTCTAATTTTCTTCTCTCGTAAACAATTCATTTCATTTCAGTTCAGTTCAACTCAGTTCAGTTAAACTTCAATTAGTTTTATAAATCAAAACAGGTGCTTCATAAAGTTGATCTGACTTAGGGCTTGGTGTTCTTCAGCTTAGTTTCAGTTCAAATCAGCTCCAATCAGTTCAGGTCTTAATTTCCTTCTCTCATAAACAATTCAGTTCATCTCAGTTCAATTTAGCTCCAATTAGTTCAATTCAGTTCAGTAAATCAGAATAGCCTCTTAAATGACCTTGATCCGAACTTGAACCACACTAAAATTGAATGACCCATTATAGGCACACACACAACACAGTCCATCAAATTCAAATGCACTTCTTAGTTGAAATAGTACAACTGTACAAGTACTTTTACACTCAAACACACAAATCAATTCGTACCTGACCTAAATTTTCATTACCTATAATTGAATTCAATTGTCACTCTAGCGACTTTACATTTTGGTGTAGAATGTAAATTCTTAATTATGAGCCCACTAAAAGTAAATACCGTCATAATATACCGATACAAAGAGAGTAATTTGTTAATAATTGATTAAAAAGGAATTTCAATATAATAACTTGATCAAACTGAATAGTATATTAATAACAATCTTCTCTATCTATCTTCGTTCAATTTATAAACTATGTAATCATGTATAGTATGTATGATCACCTCACTAATAAAAAGGTGATGCAATGTCACATGAATGCTACATTGCTCTTGAAATTAAAATAAGAGTTGACTAGTTTATAACAATGAAGGAGCTAAAAGATACAAATGTAACTAAATTAAAATCGATGATTAATTAAGAATTAATGTACAAAGAATATGTAATTAAAAAAATTACACACACATATCAATTAGTGAGCTTTATAAAAAGCTAAAAGCCCAACAAGAGGTGCATTAATGTAAGTAGCTGGTTCCGAATGAGGGAAATCAGCTCGAGAATCTGGATATTTGTCATTGATATCGGGTCCTCCAACAACAGCACCTACCAAAACATTCGGGTTAGGGTTACTACTAAAGAAGTAGGAAGTTCCGCCTTGACATTCAAGTTTATTAGGGTGCGCATCAGTGGAAGGCAAAGATGAGCCTCGATGATGTATCCTTTGAGGATATTTTTTACCGTATCCTACCATGTATGACATACTCAACGGGTTGTCTCCAAGTATATAGTCCACCTGCATGCATCACATTTTTTTAAAATTAAATATACACGACATTCATCTAGTCACTTCAAAATAACATAACTTTGCGTGTTATGTAATGATATATGTATGTCAAGAGCACCATTTACGAGTACAAACCTGACGTTTAGCAACTTGGGCGAGTCTAGGGGGCTTGACGACTACATTACCACATTGGATGGTCTTTTTTAAACTACTAGCATATCGACCATAAACCAAAAGTAAAAATGATATAGCTGTTGTATGTTGCATGTTACTTCCACCTGCTTTGAACAAGAGTCCACCTAAACAATTACAGTACAA